CCCCCAAAACCCCAAAACCCCAAAACCCCAACTTCTTTAGAAATAAATAACATTTTTAAAATTAATGGACACTGATTACCTTATTGATGATAATGAGACAGCTGGGTTTGTCAACCATGCTGATAGGCTTAAGGTAGTGGTGAGAATTAGACCATTCCTTAAAGAAGAACTTAAAGTGAGAAAATAGAAAGCATTATCTTGCAGTTGGAGAAGACTATAAGCATCTTTATGTTATGGCTAAGAACGAAGATAAGGAATTCCAGTTTGACGAAGTCCTAGATATGGAGACAGAACAAACTATGGCTTATGATACTATCGGTGAGCCTATTTTAACAAATATTCTAAATGGGTATAACTCGACTCTGATGGCCTACGGCCAGACAGGGTCTGGTAAAACATTTACTGTCTTTGGTTCTAGGAACTCGATAGATACTATAGGCAAAACTGGGCCTCTTTTGAGTGAAACAGGAGTCGTTCCTAGGATAATTGAGAATTTATTTGAATACATTCAGCAAAACCCTAAGGATGCAAAGTTTAGAATTACAACTTCTTTCCTGCAGATTTATATGGAGCAGATTACAGATCTGCTCGCTCCAATGCCTTTTGGAGAAAATAGAGGAACCATTTCCTCCAGAGGAGGAACTGGTTCTAAGTCTTTAACTATAAAGGAGGATCCCAAGACTGGGATCTTTGTGCATGGTTTAACTTTGAAAAAGATCCTTAATAAAGAGGAGCTTCTTAATATCGTCAAGCGAGGAGCACGGTTTAGGTCTACAAATTCAACAACTATGAATAAGAACTCATCTAGATCCCACGCCATTCTTCAGATCTTTGTTGAACAGAGATGGGTTGAAACCGGAGAAGCTATAAATGGAGATTTGGCTGGAGATTCTGATGGAAAACCAACCAAAAAGCGAAGCCACCGAAAAGCTTTGATGACTATTGTAGATCTTGCAGGTTCGGAGAGAGTATCTAAATCAGGCAGTGAAGGAACTCGACTTGCTGAAGCAAAAGCAATTAACAAAGCTATCAGTGCTCTTGGAAATTGTATTGTTGCTTTGTCCAAGAAGAAGAATGGGAGGAATAACTATGTTCCATTCCGAGATAGTAAACTAACTCGAATCCTAACAGAAAGTTTAAGTGGTAATTCTAAGACTATAATCTGCGCTTGTGTGAGTCCTTCAATTATCCACTTTGACGAGAGTTTATCAACCCTCCTTTTCGCTGCTAAATCAATGAGTGTTCGAATTTTTGCTATCAAAAATGAAAATGTTGAGTATAAAATCCAAAAACCTCGGAATAAATCCAGAAAGGCTGAAACAGGTAATTTAAACTTCTATTTCAAATCTAAACAGCAGCCATCTCAGAGAAGCATATACTATTTTGGGCTACTTTTAGGCATAGTTTAGTCTAGCTTTTCAAAACTTGGCTTTACTCTAGTACTGATAAACTTTATTCTTAATTTTTCAATTTATTCGTGCTTTTCTTCTTAAATTCCCTACGTGCCAAGTCTGAACTCATCTCAATACAGCTAGAGAGCGCGGTGACTCGAAGGGTGAAATAAGTGAGAAATATAACAAAATGAAGGAAGAAAATGAAGAACTCAAAAGTAGAGTTGATGAGTTAGAAAATCGGTATAAAAGACAGAGCACCGCTGACCCCATGCCTGACAAGAACGGTCATTACATGGTCAGGTCAAGGTCGCCTGCCCCTTCGTACTCTGATAAGAATGATTTGATGGGTCGTAAGGCTAACTCTGTGATCAGGAAGGAGGATCTACCTTATTTTAATAATGCTAGCGGGACAATTGCGACAACTCAGTATTATGATAATTATGCTTCTCCAGGTACAAAATCTGCGATCTCTGACAGAAGCTGGATTGATAGAAATGAGGTTTTCCAAAACGCTTCCAACGAACAAGCACAAGTAACCATTGAGAAGTTGACAAAGGTCATCCAGCACCTACAAAATGAGTTTGCTAGGAACCTCCTTGTGATAGATGAATTGATGGAGGAAAATCGAAGGCTAAGTGCTAGATCAGACTCAAGCTATTACAGAGACTTTAATTAAATCTTTTTAATTTAAGATTAATAATTTTCAACTTTTGTCAAATGGTACGGGGTTTTGGGGTTTTGGGGTTTTGGGGTTTTGGGG